CTTTCTGCCCGGTTGGGATATGTCTGCCTTTCTCCTGGATCCAAGAAGCTGCAGCTGCATTGCTGTGATCTTGTGTCTRCTCTCCCTCYCTTTCTCCCCTCCAGASAGTTTTCTAGGAAGGGAATGCCCTTCTTCTTCCAAACCATTATCAGTATGGTGAGCATTCCCCATACCAAAAGCTAGTGCTGGCTTACCTGTGCAAAGCAGGGCTGCTCCTCAAGGAATGGTAAAGCAGAAGGGAGATGCTACCCTGCCCCTGAGCCTGCTCTTGGATGGAGTAAGAACATCCAACTTATCTGGGTATCTGTTTGATCCAAAACTGGATCCCTAAGGAGAGACATTTTTGACCAAACACATCCTGAAGGAGGAATGCCGTCTATGGCCTGGTATTTCCTTCAGTGCGACGACAGACTTCTCCAAACCCAGAGATTTCAGCCCACTGCTACCAGTGGCAGTTTGCTGCCAGCCAGCAGGAAGAAAACYGATTCAACCATAGCTGCAACCAGGTCCAGTTGCCACAGGTGCACCYGATTTCCCTGGAGCATCTGGAAGGGGTTACTTACATGGCACCAGCATCCCCAGTTGTCACCACTTCTCGTGTCTAATACATGCTGCCCTGCACRCTGCAGTGCTGGAGAAACCAGGAACACAAATGTCCCACTCAGAACAGTGCTAGGTTATGTGACTGATGGATCACTGCCACCAAGACATGGCAGCAGACACATGGTGACAGGCAGGGGAACCCCCAGGGCGCCAGCAGAACCGGCTGTCCCAGGATGGTCAGGGGGAGCCACCAGTGCCACGGTCACAGCAGGGGCTCCCCGATAGCTCACAGCCCAAGGTACTGGTGCAGAGCTGGGCTCAGGGGCAGATGCCGGCGGCGTGTTTCGTCTGCGTGTGAGCGATGGCTGCGCGCCCGTACATCTGTGTGTCTCTGGGACACACGCCACCCTTGCTGCCGTGGCAGCCCGGGCTGATGCCGCAGTGGTGCTTTTCCCTTGTCACACCAACCCCACAGCAGTTCCCTTCACCGCGGCAGACACCCGAGCCGGCTCCGCGCCGCGCAGCTCTCTCCAGSGCGGTACCTGAGCGCGGCTCTCACGCACGCCTGGTTTCACATCCCGCACTGCTCCCATGCGCGGGTTTTAATCCCTGTGGCGCTCTGCGGCAGGGATTTACTGCCTAGGGTCAGCACCAGCCGATGGAATGTCTAGGACACTCGTACGCTGAAAGAGCCAGAAACGGGACACCTCGGCTGTACCTGAGCGCACCCAAGGAAAGTCGCACCAAGTCTGTTCAAACYCCTTTTTATCCTTTCCCTTTTAATGCCACCGTTTATACTTTTAATGCCTGTTCGTTTATGGATGGACTGTGCCTCTTGTCACTCTCCTGGCAGCACAACAAGGAGAGAAAGCACCAAGGCACTGCAACCGGCAGCACATGGATGACCCTGAGAGGCCACAGCCCCYGCCAGGATGCAGGAAATTCCCACTCACATCACTTAAGGAGAAATCATCTCAAGCAGCTGCACTCTTCCCCCTTGTTTTCTACTATTTGGTAACTCAGTGCCTCAGCTTGAGCATCTCTTCTCCTCGTTTAAAGATTATTTCTTTTTTTCTCCCAAGGAATAAGGATTTGTTTTTTGTGTACCCTATCATTGTATACCTCATTGTCCTTTGCAAGGGCAAAATATAGGCTGTAGAGAATCTCCTCCACACCCTAGCCTGGACCTGTGAGCAGAAAGCACTGCCTTTTCACTGCAGCTTTTTTGGACATGGCCTTTTCAACTTGCCTGCAACCAGGATGTGAATGGGGTTTGGACACAGCTGTCTGAAAATTTTTGTAGCCACACAGCCAAAAATTATGAACTTTCAAGATGTAGTTTTTGTCTAAGACACAAACTGCTGACAGGACTTGTCTTTTTCTTTCTCACGACAGCTTGCAGTCCAGGTAATGGGAACTTCTCCTGACATATCAAGATGGGGTGGCGCAGGAATGTGAGGCACATCTTTCTTTGCCCTTCAGACACCACACACACGAAATATCACAGAAGTGGGACTGCTGGATTGGGCATGACTGCAGTTTAAGGGAGTGGAAGGAAGGGACACAGCCTAGATCCACAAATTCCACCCCCTCTGCCCTTGAAAAGGCAGAGGGATAGTTTTGGCCTGGCTTTCTCACAAACACGACCCAATCCAAATGACATTTTTACCCACAAACAACAGAAGACAATGCAACCCACCACTCTTCCCAGTGCTTGTGAAGTAAAGGTCTGTACCAGYCCCAGACTTCAAGTATGCTTCTAAACTTTAGTTTACAACACATAGGAAACAAAGTCAGTTTTGATTTGCTCCTCATTTTTGAGAGGAGAGAGGCAGAAGCAAGCCACTGACCCCATCTTTTAACAGAGAAAGGAAATGGATTTAGAAAGCAAATTACCTGTAATCTTTTTTTGGACAGGGAAGTAAGTATGTATTCAACTAGTTTTGATGCTGTAATTATGTGTCACTGCACAAGAATTCATACTTACACTTTAACATGCACTCTTAATGGGTAAGTTCCATTTTTCACCCATATGAATACATTCAATAGCTTGGAGAAGAAGGAAAGAAAAATCCATACAAGCAAAAGRTGTCAGAAAGAGGTTAAAAATAAGATTTATTTGCAAATCATTTTGACAATAAACCAGTATCTCTGAGCTGTGCATTTTGGGGACTACAAGTCAGTTCCTTTGTGTTCTGAGATTTCCACTTGCATGCAATATGGGATACCTCCAGAATTCAAAATGAACTTCAAAGTGTCCTTTTTTGCCTTGCTGTGCTGAGTAATTCATTCCACAGGCACACTATACAAGAGTCAAAGTCTTTGTAATGAGGAGCTGTCACAGCAAACGCACAATGGAACAGCCTTGGCTTAGAAAGAAAACTCACTTGGGAGCTGTTTCACATTTGTTTAACACAGTGGTGAGCTCTTCAAGACTCCCACAAGAAGTACCTGGTGCTGTATGAAAAAACCCCAAATGACCCAACGAAAAAATCTATAAACCCAAAATTAAAATCAAGAAGACCCCAAAACTCAGTATCAACATTTATCTCTAAACCTCACAGCTATRTCAAAACCTCAAATTTCTTTCTGTTGTGTGAATGCACAGTACATCTGGTTATGACCCAGGTTCCCTCTCTTGAAAGCTGATGAGCTGTCTCATGTAAAAAAAAMCCCAAAACCTCAAGATTTAATAGTAACAACTGTTTATAAGTGAGCTCAGGACAAAGGCAATCCAAAGTAAGATTTACCTTAGTGTCTGACTGTGAGAGCAACCTCTAAATCATGTTTAGGGTTACAGCAGCAGAACAGGAAGACAGCAGCATATTCAGAACATTTCCTCAATTTATGCCCACCCTTCTCCCTGACCTTCCTYTCTCTGCCTTTCCAGGCTTTATACCTGGTAATTTCAATTCTGAAGTCATGGTCTGAATTAGATTAAATCAGAACTGTATTCTGAAGCGCCTACATTAATCAAGTTTTGAGCACACCACAATTAGTGTATCTTGCATTAGGCCAAAGTCAAAAGCTGACACAAGGAAACAAAGTAACTCAGAGGAAATAAAAAAATCTGACCAACATCTATTTTCAATACAGTTCTAGAAAATATTAACACTTATAACAAAGAGGGACTTTTTTCCTCTTTATGAAGCTCAAAGTAATCCYAATATTTGATACCAGAAAAAAAWTTTTTCTCCCCTCCCATATATATAATAATGCAAGAAAAGATGAACAGATGTCATTGCTACCAGCTCAAACAAAGCATTAACGAATGTATTAGATTATTCAAATGTAAATAAACATGGTTTATATGCATATAAAAATGCCTAAAATAACAAAGGGTAACAACTATCAGTGATAACCTGTTCATGTAAGTATTTAGGTTAAGCTGGAGAGAATAATAGACTTAGAAACATTAATTGTTTCAGGCTACTTTAGAAAGACTAAACCAATATTCAAGTGAAAGCTCTTCATCATCATCCCAGACACCATCTCCCCMTAGGGGTTTCCCTATACCTCCTGGGGAACCTAGGCCATTTTTATGAAACAAATATACATGGTCATTTGCATCAACCATTACTGAAATGATCCTGAGAGCAGCGTCTAGATTCTAGGAATCTCTTCAAGCTGAACGCCCTAGCTAACATCAGACTGCCTCTTGCACAAGCTCAAAACTAAAAAAGGATAAAGATTTCAGAACAGATTTTATGTTGACAGACATTGCCCTGTTCAATCCCAACTCAACTATCTTCAGAGAACAGTAAGAGTTTGTGATGGGTAAATTGTAAATCCAGTGGCTATGTTCTCCCATTAGAGAACTCCAAGGATTCACTCTCCTAAACCCTCTGTATCCCAGTATTTGTGGTGTAGTTACATGTAAATACCGTTGAGGTTTATCAACAGCTGATTTGGGCCATGGTTAAACTGCAGGTGCCAACATCCTGCATCAGCCTGTCCTGGTTTTGCCTGGGAGAGAGCTYGTTTTCTTCCCCGTAGCTGGTAGAATGCTGTGTTTTGGATTTAGAGTGAGAATAATGTTGGTAACACACTGGTGTTTTAGTGTAAACATGGCTTAGCAACAACTAAGTCAAGGACTTCAGTCAGTTCCTCATCCCACTGACGAAGGGGCTGGGGTGCACAAGGAACTGGGAGGGGACACAGCCAGGACAGCTGATGCGAGTGAGCAAAGGGAGGTCCCAGACAACGTGATGTCATGCTTAAACTAGCAGCTGAGGGAGAGCTGGCCAGGGGTCACTGCTCAGAAACTGACTGGCATCAGTCATCAGGTGGTGGGCATTTGTGTTGTGCCTCATTTGTTTCATATATTTTATTTATCATTGTTACTCTTGTTTTCCCTTCTGATTCTGTCCTATTAAACCACCTTTATCTCAA